CAGTTTTCCACTCATCCCCCTCCCTTATGCGGACCAAATGATAAGCGTTACGCAAATCCAACTTGGTGAAGATGGATGCTCCCTGCAACCGCTCGAAGGCTGAAGACATCAATGGCAAAGGATAAGTATTCTTTACCGTGATGTTGTTCAACCCTTGGTAATCAATGCATGGTCGCAGGGAACCATCCTTCTTCCCCACAAAAAAAAACCTGCCCCCGCGGGAGAAGAGGAAGGACGAATGAGCCCGGCTGCTAGAGAATCAGAAATGTATTTCTCCATGGCCTCCCTTTCTGGAGCAGAAAGCGAGTATAACCTGCCCTTAGGCGGAGACGTACCTGGTACTAAATCTATACCACAGTCATAGGGACGATGTGGAGGAAGAGAAGCAGCCCGGGACTTACTGAACACTTCCTTCAGGTCGAGGTACTCCTTGGGCACGTTAGACAGGCTCACCAGCTCATTCTGCAACAAAAAACAAGACACAGACGAACAAGCAGACATAAGACAAGACGCATAACATTGGTCACTCCACGCCGAGATGGAACTCTGACCCCAGTCCACCCAGGGATTGTGATGCACCAGCCAGGGGTGGCCCAGCACGACAGGAGCCAGCGGAGATTCAGTGAGCAGGAGTGTGAGTTTCTCAATATGATTTCCTGAGGTGATGAGGGTGACAGGTTCAGTAGTATGTGTGATGCTAGGAAGAGCCTGTCCGTTGAGTGCGTTGACAGAGATAATATGGGTGAGAGGAACAATGGGTATCTGAAGGTGTTGTGCTAGGTTGTAGTCCATAAAGTTACCTTCAGCTCTGGAATCCAGCAGGGCCTGGCAGTTGTGGATACCGGCTGCCCATTGCAGTCTTACCGGGAGGAGAGTTGAGGATGAGGATTTTCCCAGGGACAATCCACCCGACAGTAACCTCAGCTCTACTGCCGGGCTTGGCCTTTTACTTGACAGTCAGCTAGGAAATGATCCGCAACGCTGCAATACAAGCAAAGTCCCCTTGCTCTCCGACGGTCCCTCTCCTCCCGGGAAAGCCGAGCTCTTC